CTGGTGCTAGTCATGGGGGTCTGGAAGGAGTTGGTGCTTTTATCTAAACTACAAACATGTGGAATTGGGAAGCTGGTGTTCATGAAGAAAAAATACATTTTTAGGTCATATACTTGCAGAGAAAAAATGAGTTCACCCTAAGTATTCAGAAGCCAGAGAGCAAAACTATATTTTTTCCTGACTATATTATCAGAAAGACTGAAATTAATCCCCCAAAGATTATTTATTTTTTATATTTTCAGATGATTGCTTATTTCGAGACTCTGCTTTCCGTTTCTGATTTCTGTCTGTTCCCTTTGGTTCCATTCTCCAGCTATTGGGAATGGGAAAGGGAGGGATCCTGGCTGTACAGGACCTTCTAGGAGGCCTTCCTCTTTTCTGCATCATCAGAAAATTGTTGGATGCCAAAGGAGCCTTCCTTTTCTTTTTACATTCTGCTTTTCCCTAGCTGCATCAATTTCAATGCTTATCTCTCCACTCCTGACACTTAGGAATGTTGACAAGTCTTTGTCTTCAGCTGGAGCCTTGATTATTTGTTTAAAACCACTTTAATTCAATATTTTGTCGACCAGAAGGACAGGGAGAGAAAGTTTTTCACTGCTTACATGATCATGGGATAAATATTTTAAAAAAAATTCTAAAAATTACTTTTGCCATTTATCTTCTTTTGGATGGGCCAGATGCACACCTGCTCATGTGTGCTTAGAGATCTGTAATCGCCTATGCACAAAGACTTGACTAAAATTGGTTTTGAAATATGAAAAAACAAAAAGTTTTTCATTAATGAATGATCACCAGCAGTGGAACCGGCAATTGAAGTCTTACTCTTCTGCTGAGTTTGTGACTGAACTCTTCAAATTTGAAACATTTATAACTTTCAGCTTCAAAGTGCTGATTTGGCTGGGATCTATGGTATCCTGCCTCTCCTGTATGCAGAGGTGCAGATTCCTCTAAGGCGGCCTTTGCAACTCCCCAGGGCACAATAGGCTGGAGGAGCCTCCTGACCTGACAGACTTGAAGAAATTCTGATAGAAACAAAGTGATTTCTAACTGAGCCTGTTATTCTCTTCTGTGCTTCAACTTCCATGTTTCAAATTTTAAGCACTCAAGTTTTTAATAGCATGATTGCTGAAGCTCTTCTGATGCTCAGCTAGGAATCATTTAGCTTTTACAAGGAAAAATCTTTGAAAATTTGTTAGGGTTAAGGAGGAATTGTCTGTTTACTGGGCTGCTCTCTTGGCTCTGGACCTCCCTGCTCCATAGAGTCTCTTTCTTCCCTGATCTTGTCTAGATATTCTTAGGATGCAGAAGGAATGGGATGGAGAATTCGAAACTGCTTTTATGTAAATTTAGACTGAGTCATCTGGGATACTGTGTGGAGTTCTGTCACCTCAGGGTGGGGTTTGTCTGTCCTCACTTAAACATTAAAAGATGTCGAAGTCTAAAGCAATCACTCAATGTCTTTTCTAGATAAAAGAAAGAAATGGGTATTTATAAAGACTGAGTCCTCAGGCATGTATTAGATGCCAGCTGTAGGATGAAATGAATCACTTTGGGTGCCTACAGTTGGGCAGATGAACGCTACCATTTATTTCCGAAGGTGTTGCAATCAAGTGAAAGACATTTCACAGGCAACAGAAAATGGCTAGGGAATAGACTAAAGTCTCTGTCCTCTAAGAAGATTGGAAAGCTTATGTTTGATTGCCTTAGGAAAGACATTTATAACAAGGGATGCAATTAAAGTGGAAGATCTTTTACTTTGTCTGCAAAACTGAGGCAATGAATCTGCAAGAAGGGAAAATTGAACTAAGAAAAAGAAAAAAATGTACACAATGTTTAAACTAAAATCCATTTTCAGAGGAAATTGGATGAGTTAAAAAAAATAAAAATTTAGGAATATTCCAAGTTCATTTAGACAAATATCTTCATAAATATTTTCTCCAGTTAGTCACAGAAGTAGTTTTGAGGAGTTATTATTCCTGTCTTCAGGACTTGAACTGGTTTTGCACTACTGGAAAGCAAGGTGAGATCTAGAAAGAAAGGCAGGTTTTTTTAGGAGTGCATCTTGTAAACTGTGGCAGCTGGTGGAGTGACAGTGCCTATCATGGCAGGGCTGCCACCGTCAGGATTGCTGTCAACAGGAGGTGTATGGTTAAAAGCTGTCTTTTACTTCCCTGAGTGGCAGAACTACACTTCTTGGAGAGCTGATGTGTGTCATGCTTCCAGGAGAAGGTTTAGCTATTTTGCCTCCATCGAGTGGAAATATTTTCCTGCTCATTCTCTCTCTTGTGGGCAATGCATTGTCAGTAATGGAAGAAGTAATACACCAAACTGCCCTTGTAAGCAGCTGTAAGTAGGTGTCGTATCTCTTCTCGCTGTTTTGTGTAGTCATGGCCCTGGTTACAGAATTACATCTACAGCAAAATGACATTCATCAGTGATGAAATATGGCAAACTGAGAAGGTGAGAATAGTGGCTTTTTAACTGTGCACAGCAACATGCCATAATAATTCATGTCAGAGACAAAAAAATTTGTGACTCCTCAGATCAGTTTTCATACTGGCTCTGAGCACATTACATAGAGCTCTGTTTATGACCCATGTTTTAATAGTAAACCCTATTTTTGTCTGTACTTAATTTCCAAGATTTGATAGGAGTTGCCAGTGAAAAGGGGTGTGAGTTCATGGGATTGTATGAAATTTTCAGGCAACCGCTAGGCAGTCGATTTAGCTTTCAGAGGAGAAAGTTAACATGGGCTATGTTTTTTTTCCATTCAGCACTGCAGAAGAAGGGGGATTTACTGATGAAATAAGCTCAGGACTAGGAAATTGCTTGTACAGTTAAATCCTGAGGTACTCAAAACCATTTCTTCCTGGGTAAGAGGTGCAGCATCTGTGTGTCAGAAATGAGAAAGGCAAAAACAGTCCATTGCTCAGGTGCTGTAAGCTGCAAAACTTTCTGAGAAAACAAAAAGCTGTTTTCCTTCCTTTCTGCTGTCATACCAAGCATTGCTGCCTTCCATATTGCTGTAAAAGCACTTTGGGAGAACCAGAAGGGAGCTTTAATTTAGCAGTCGAACATTTTTATTATTCCTTATTTCATGTCAGAGGAGTTGCTGATGGAGTACTAATGTTTTGTGTGTAGGGAGTGGGGCTGAGGGAGATGCTGTATGGAGATGGGAGAAGGCAGCTCAATGGTCTTCTTTGCTTAAAGCTATTTTGCTTTCCTTTGTTGCTGGTGTGGGAAAATACATGTCTTCTGTGTGTGAAGAGTGGATTTTTCTGCCTGCTGAGCACAAGAAAGCTTCTGAATCACTGTGAGAACATGCCATGAAATACATGTGTAGCCCATTAGGCCTAAAGACTTCAACACCTGCTGTACCCCTGAGAAGGGGATAATTTTTTGATGTGTGATAGTTTCATTCCTGTGGTGCTTCCATTGTGTTTTACAAGAGAACATGTAACTTTTAAAGCCTTTTGGCACAGGTAACTGAGCTCCCACAGAGAAGTAATCATCTGCTACAGAGTTAACAAGAAAAACCTCTTTCAAGGTTTGCATCTATTTTGAGCTTGTTTTTATTCACAGAATCATAGAATAGCTTGAGTTGGAAGGGTCCTTTAAAGGTAATCTAGTCCAGCCTCCCTGGAATGAGCAGGGACATCTTCAGATAGATCAGGTTGCTCAAAGCCCCATCCAACTTGACCTTGAATGTTTCCAGGGATGGGGCATCTACCACCTCTCTGGGCAACCTGTTGCAGTGTTTTGCCAGCCTCATTATAAAAATCTTCTTTCTTATATCTAGTTAAAATCTACCTTCTTCTAGTTTCCAACCATTACCCCTTGTCCTATCACAACAGACCCTGCCAAAAGTTTGTTCCCATATTTCTTATAAGCCCTCTTATGCACTTGTTAAGTGCATGCATTTCCATACACTTGAATTCAAAAAGGTAGATAATTTCTTATAGTTTGGTATTAGAAAAGAAGTTTTTGCAATTGTACAAACCTAGCATAGCCTGGCATACACATTTTTCTTCATGCCGTTGTCAGAAAGATACCTCCTTCTGCAAACTCATGAGTAAGAGTAGGTAGAAAGCTCAGCCCTCGAACTGCTGAATCTGTAGGTCACTAAAAAAAATTTGAGACTTTCAAAGATGATTTTAGTTTATAAATCTCTCAGATTTCGTACAAAATAGTCATTTTGGAAGAATAATGTTTTGCCAAATGTGACTTGGAAAATTCAAAAGAGAATGGCATGGATATCACATTTGCTTTATTTTCCCAAAGGTCTCTCATGAATTCATTCAAAATATTACCCTTAGCAACAGTAGTAATTCAGAAAATAAACATATATATGCATATAAGTATTTTGGTGAACATTGTAGTAGTATTAATAATACAAATAAAAACATTAATGCACATATGTAGTTTGGTGAACACCTATTAAAATGAAATAGCATAGAAATGCTTGAAGGATGTCATGATTTTCTTTTGATGAACTTGACTTTCCTGATAATTTGAAAGATGACTGAAGAGTCATAGCTTGTCAGGAAAGTAAGCCATAATAAATTGCATCTTTTAATATTCTTTATTACAAAATGCCCCAGGGAGCATATAGAGTTTAAAAACTCAGTGTCTTTTCCTGGTGATACTTTCATCACAAAATAATAGCATTTTCTGGCAGACTATTTCAAATTATTTTCAATTAGTAAGATAATTGGTGGGTGATAGTTTTTGAGAGCTGATAGTGAAGTGGTTCCTTTGTTATGTGCAGCTAGTCATAAGCAGTATTAATTATGTCACATTGTAAAATTCATTCCTGTTTAAATGAAGTAACATACAAGGAATGAATAATAATATTTCATATCCATTGTTGTGCTGGGTGTATGGCAGGTAGAAGATGAAGAGGAGTAAAACTGGAGAAAAAGTGTGTTAAAAGATCTGTTAGTTGAATTGTGCTATACTTCCCTAATCTCACAATACTTTAAATTATTCTTTCCTAGCCTCAGACTATTCGGCAAACTCTTCAAAAGACACTGCAGTATTTTGAGCATCAAGTTATTGGGTAAGTGTTAATGTGACGCAGTGAAAGGTGCATGGTAACGTTTTGTTCTGTGCCTCCCAAGTCACAGCCTTTTATGATAAGATTTTAATTTTATTTTTTTCTCTCAAATTCTTAGAGGTACTTTGAAGTAGCAATACATACTCTGGACATTAATGATAAAAATCTCTTCGGTCCTGCTTCTATACAATCCCGTCAGAAGGTGAACTGTAATGTTTCTTAAACAAGGAGAATAGACAATCTTTTTCAATCATAGAATAACAGAATACCAGATTGGAAAGGGACCTTAAGGATCATCTAGTGCAACCTTTCTTGGTAAAAGCATGGTCTAGACAAGATAGCTCAGCCCTCTGTCCAGCTGAATCTTAAAAGTGTCCATCACTGAGAGGTTTAAACCTTTTGTAATCACTTCTGAAAGACATTTATTGACTTTGCATTTGTATAAGGAGATGTTATAACTTTATTATCTTTTTTTTTCCCTGTAGTTACAGGGATGCAGAGAAGAATTTTCACAATATATCAAACAGATGCTCCTACACAGACTGCTCTGGTAATGAAGAAACTGAGGATGTCTCAGGAATTCTCCAGTGTACGGCTAATGTACTTGGTACGTATTTTTTCAAGGGAATTTGTTTCCTTTCATTGAAAGGAAAGTTTACCACCTGTCGTAATGGCAACAATGAAGCAAGAAATTTTTGGTCCGACAAAGGAAATTTAGGATGTGGGCAGCTACATACCAGTGCCCTGGTATTTTTCTCCTTTTCCACCTACATTTTGAGCCTTTAAGACAATTCAGACTGATTTTCAGTGGGGCCAGTGAAGGTGTATTGTGCAATACCTAGTGATTAAAGAAGTTTCAAAGGCTTTCAGTGCAAATAGACTTACTTCTGGACAGGCCTTGGAATTATCTTGAGTGTTTTTATAGGGATTCTGCAGAACAACAGATACTTTTATCATCTGTAAGCCTGGTGGAGAGAGGGCCTGAGAAACACAGAGTAGCATGTACTTGAGACATAAAACGTTCTGGAATCTTAGAGAGATTTTCATCAGCAAGAAGCACAACACTGAAATCTGGCCATGTATGATAATTTAAGATATAATTTAACTGCCTTGTCAGGGAATATGGTGAGGTGATACTCTACTCACATTCTGGTCTGGGCCATTGTATCCTTCTGACTTAAAATCCTTTTGGAGATATATGCATTGCATATCTGTCTATTCTATCACAAACTGTTAAACAGACAGTACGCTATGTGAAACAGCAAATTTTCTAGCTGAGAGATGACTGTGTTTCACTGACATTCAAACTTCTTTTTTTTTGAATCAGGTGCCTTGTTCTGCAAAATGCTAGGTGCTGTCAGGGATGTTCTGCATGTCTGTAACTGCTGCTCAGAAGAGATGGTACTTGGTATTTTGCGTGTTTGGTCATGGAGGGAATTTAGAACAAATTAAATTGTAAATGTGTCCAGGGTTAATTACCTTTTTCTATTTTAAAATAATGGATGCTAATTCTCCAAAACAAAGGCTAAGAGTGATAAGGCAGGACTCATGCAAAGCAGAGAGTTTTCATGTTATCAGGTGCATATTATTATTGTAAGAAACAAAACTAGACATTTGGTACATATTTTATTATGACACGAAGTATGTGTTCTAAGAAACAGCTATGAATACTTTTTCACCTTTATAGTGCTTTAAAATCAATATATTAGTCCTAGTACCTTAGAATGGCTGAGTAACATGCAACCTGTTTCTTCAGTGATATCCTCACAGTGCATGTGCATTAGGGCAGATTGGATTTTTGGGATCAAGGTGTAGGAATAATGTCTGGGCATTACTGACTTGGAAATTATTAAATTTGACTTTGTTGAAAATTAGTTTGAAGACACTTATTCTTGGAAAAGCTCGCTTCTTGAAGAATGAATTTGACTTTTTAGCAAAAAAAATTCAATGTGAGCAAAACACTGAGATAATTTAAAAATAATAGTTCTCCCTATCTAGGACAGGAACCTAAGGGAATGAGCAGTAAACCCAGCTTCTTTATTTTAATTGTAGCTCCTATCACAACAGGTAAATAATTAATGGAGGCTGCGTAATTAATTCTCACATATGCAGTTATTTTTCTGGTTGAATAAGGATTGGTGAGAGCTGCCTCTATGAAAGAAGGATGTAACCACTGGGGTGTGTACCTAGAGCAATCGGCATTGCTGAGGCAGGAGGCAAGCATGAATCTGACTGTGATGAAGGCTAGAAAAACTGTTGAACCAAATCTGGCTCTTAGTTTCTTTATATGAGCAGTAAGAAGCACTGACTGTCTAGTGCTGGAAGAATGTTTTCATAAAGATGCTTGGAAGCAGATTCTGCTCTCTGACCTTAGATAATGCCAACATGATTCACCTCTCCTGACCCTCTAACCAGCTCTGAAACAGTCATTTGGCATTCCTTATTCATCAGAAGACTGCAAGTGCTGAGATCATTAGTCAGCTTGGAAGACTGTGAACAGATGCTTCACACTGTGGTCCTGGTGCTTACACTGCTTACAGGAAAGTACTGACTGCAAGCTGTACACTCAACTTGGTGCATGTGATTTATCATGTATGAATACTGCAATTTTCCTCTTACCAAGTCATGACTAAATTGTGTCACCTTCTTCCTGCAGTGGAAGGATTCTCCGTGTCTCTTTGCTGAGTTGCTCCTGCTACAAGTCTAGGCATCAACAGAACTCTTCCTGCTTTAATCCACTGTAATTAAAGGGAGCCATGTCCATCATGTTCACATGCTGTGAACCATGTCTGACACCAGATCAATGACACAGCCTTCCTTTATGATCACAGCTTTGGAGGCTGGAATATTTAATTTAACTTTTTATCCTTTCAAAAATAGTCCAGACAGCTTTATGAGGGACTCTGCTCTCTTTAATTGGTGCATGCACAGTTTTAGTGTGTCCTTCATAAACATATAGAAACGTAGAATCACAGAATCCTTTAAATTGAAAAAGACCTTTAAGATCATCAAATGCAACTGTTAACCTAGCACTGCCAAGTCCACTACTAAACCACGTGCCTGAGTGCCACATCTACATGTCTTTTAAGTACTTCCAGGTAGGGTGATTCAGCCACTTCTCTGGGCAGCCTGTTCCATTGCTTGACAACCCTTTCCATGATGAAATTTTCCCTGATATCCAATCTAAACCTCCCCTGGTGCAGTTTAAGGCCGTTTCCTCTTGTCCTGTCACTTGTAACCTGGGAGAGGAGACCAAACCCCACCTGGCTACAACCTCCTTTCAAGTAGTTGTAGAGAGTGATAAGGTTCCCCCTGAACCTCCTTTTCTGCAGGCTAAACAACCCCAACTCCCTCATCTGCTTCTCATAAGACTTGTGCTCCAGACCCTTCCTCAGTTTCACTGCCCTTCTCTGGACTTGCTTCAGCACCTCAGTGTCTTTCTTGTAGTGAAGGGCCCAAAACTGAACACAAGATTTGACATGTGGCCTCATTTGTGCCAAGTACTGATGATCACTGCCCCAGTCTTATCATCCAAGGGAAAATCAATTGACAATACACTGGAAGTTTTTAAACAGAGAAAAGACAGCTTCTAAAGGGAGCCTATCGAAAGTTTCTAGTTGGAAAATAAAGTATTTCAAACAAGATGCACTGGTATATTCTAGCCTGTTGACACAGATAAAGCTTTTAGCTGGCTAGCCAAACTGTGTTCACAGCAGACTGATGGTGTTAGTTTGGACTTATTTTAGAAATAATGATAAGAAAAAGATTCCTGTGATGAAGTATGTTATGTAGATGACTACCACATTTCTCTATTAGGTAACTATAAATTTATACTGAGGTACGTTAGAGAGAAAAATTGTATCTGAAAAGATTTCTTATTTGACCTTGGGCAAGTTTTTATTCTTTCTATGCCTCGATTTCCCATCTGTATAATGGAGATAACAGGATTTTTTTAATCCTTTAAACTGTATGTCAGTGCTGTTCAGATTTTAACCTTCTTGAAGTAAAGACATGTTCATACCACTGGTACATTCAGCATTTCAAGCAATGACAGCAAATCTTATTTGGAACTGCTTTTGCCCTCATAATTTAAAATTATTTGATTTCAAGTAAGATTTGAGTGTGCATTTTTACTTAATTGTGGTCAGAATAAAGTAGAAAAACTTCATGTAGCTGCAAATTAAAACTTTGGCAACAGGAATATAAGGATGAAAACTTTTTTTCTTGGTCTGTGATTACTACTGTAAGGAATTTATTTTAGGACATGAAGTCTTCATGACCTGTTTCCTGTTTATTTTTTTGGCAGATATTCCAAGGTCTGTGCTACTGAGCTTTACAAAGAAGTAGTGAAATGCAGAGTTTCCATTTTTGAACCCCACTCTGTACTTCTGATGTATTACATGATATTTCTCATGTCACAGATGCACAAGCCAGATAAAAATTGTACAGTCTTCACCTCACCTCCTCCAAACACTCTTTTCAGATGCTGCACGCAATTAATGTAACCTTTATGGACATAAATTATTTTTCACTCTTTAATCCTTCACAGAAAAAAAAAAAAAGGAAAAGTTTCATTACAGCGGTTGCCTATCTTCTTTTTAGCAGCATCTATATTTCCTTTGGACCCTCTTCGCATCTTTCTGAGGAACTCTGATCTGTCATAACTTTGATAGTAAAACTAATGAAAAGTAACCTAAATTCATAAATACTTATAAAAAGAGCTGTTGTACAGAATTTGCAAAGGAGAAGTAGCTGTTCATACCCAATCTTTAATGACATGGAATTGTTGTCTTTGAAAGCCCTTTTGTGTATTGGACTGCTATATCTAAATTGCATGTACTGCAGCACCGTGCTAGATATACTGTATAAATAACACTTGCAACACCTTGGTCACACAGTCCAAAATTACAAATGCACTTCTGTCAGATAGCTGTTTCAGCAGTAAGGCCTAGAGAAATAATCTTACCTGACTTGCCATTGCTTAAGATACAAAAAAACATTCTCTTCCGTTTTTTTAATTTAAAGAATTAATTTATACAACAGATTTCTTTTTCATCTCTTATAAAAATTTGGCTCCTAAATTTTACTACAATTACCTAATTTTCCTTAAAAAATGCATGGCATATGTCAATGGCTGCTAGGTTAACTCTGCATGTGGTCTCAAGTATATTGCAAGAATTTTTCCTCTTAGGCATTCTTAACTAATGGGTTAATAATGCTCCCTCTCCTGTTTTTGCTTCTGAGAGTGGTGTGAGAACTTTGCTTGTCTGTCATTTCTAAGTGAGTATCTTTCTGGGCATCTTCTGTTTGGAGGATGATATGGCACAGCAGCAAGGATTCCCTAATCCCCTGATGATAAGTTATGTGGAATCCCAGCCCAGAGTCCTGTCCCATCAGGGAGATAAATCATGTTTCTGGATTCAGCCTCCTCAAACCACTGAGGAGGAGGTGGAATCCATTGTCAGTGTAGGGTTATAGAGAATTCTTTCTCTGGGTGACATTTGCTTGTCACTACCAAAGAAAATATGTGCTGCAGGCTGCTTTAAATAGGGCAAATCACTTCATGCCTAAATATATATTGCAGGGCTGTTCCTACATTTAATGCAA